AAGTATTACCTTCCCCAATTTTTCGAAAGAGCACGACTCTCGCGTTACGTGCCCAATTGCTTTGTTACGTTTCCGCAGCTCGATACTCGTCGTTCGCGAAATCGAAGAACGGAAAGCATTAAATAATCTTTCGTTCGCACCCCCCTAAACAGGTCGATATGTGTCTCCGTATTTTTACTCTTGGAGTTACGCCTAAAACTTAACCTTACAACGGTACACCACCAGGGCGTATCGATTAATGGTATATGTATATACATGGTGTAACTAAATTGTTGTAGGTCCCTGAAATGGGTCACTCGTGAGATGATTTAGAACAAGTTTTTCCTTAGCAAAAATGTTATTCGAGGCATTGTTAACGAGATATTAATGAAAAACTCCGACCAATCAGAGTGTCATTCTGTCGGTCGACCTCTGATTGGTCGGAGTTTTTCCTTGATATCTCGTTAACAAGTTAAGGAAAAGATGTATGTTTAACACTTTTTGATTCGCTCAATTTAAGGTAGGGAAAAGTACTTTTGAAGCCATCATATTATGGAAAACAATGAATACGATTTTATGACCGCGTCATAGACTTGCGCCAGTTTTTCCAATGGAGACATATAGGGACGAAAGAGAGAGAATGAAAGCATTATGAACTGAAGTAGACAGAGATGCTATTATCAGGAGTTCGACAAAATGCGATTATAAGGGAAAATACTGTATAACTGGCTGAAGTTTACTTTTAAGTGGATACAGGCGTGAGAACTAGTTTAGGGAGATACTTTCACGTGGACAGGTAACATAAGCCTTCTTACTTTCGACTTAATCCTGGATAGACTGGGCAACGAGTTAACAATTAGTAAGAAAAATAGGTTAAAAAGTAATAGATAATTATTAATATACTTTTTAAAGAAATTGGTATTTTAGAAAACTGCTTACGTAGCTATTCTCATTATTAAAGAATATACAATTTTCGTTAACTACTATTTTTTTCCAAGTCGAATAGTTTCCGCGATATTAAAGAAAATATATTTGATACCTCCAGTTTTAAGGATTGTTCATACCCTACATATGAATATCAGTAGCTAAAAAAAATCGTGCCAAATATTTTTCATTCTTTGTGCTAAATTTCATAAAAATTGTTTCGTTACACTTGAGTAATTCTTCTTTTTGTTGGGAAAGCGACTCTTAGAAAACTGATATTGTACCTAAGGGTAATGATAGTTTCGCATGCTAGAAAGTAAGTACATTTTGTCATGTACGTACTTGAACTAGATTTTGGGGATATGGAAAGTGTACATACAACGTACTTTTTATTAGAAGAAAGCTTAAACTATAAAGAAAAAGATTAGAAAATTTTTTTTGTCAATTTCTGAAAGATCCCAATCAAGTAGACGTACTGTCTGTCACATAAAAAATTAATTTCCATTAATACGAAAATCACTGACAATCAATAACAGAAAGTTTTAATCCCGATGAATATCTAACAAACTTCGCCCAGTATCTGATATTATGAAAACAGTGCCAGAAGTTATAATATAAATGACTCATAATTACAAGAAATTATCAGTAAAACAACATATATTGTATAACGATCAGCTGTGACAGTATTTACAAGTATCGGTTAACATATTTATGTATCTACACATAGTTGGTAATTAACGTTTAGTTAATAAGTTAACAAACTCACCGCGTTGCTAATAACCTTTATCGTTAAAGCAACGTTAGAATTGAATTAAAAAAAAAAGAAAAATAAGAGAAAAATAATAAACATTTTTCGAAAAGATATAAAATTTCCCCCGGAACATCGTTTTCAAAATTCACTTAGTCTCTCGAAGTCACATGCAAATGAGATTCGAACAGCCGGAACATTTTAATGGATCGAATTTTGCCCTTCGATGGACGGAACACAATTATAGAATACATTCGAAGGGTAATGGACAGGACGAGGGTGGAAAGAAAGAGAGAGAAAGAGAGAGAGAGAGAGAGAGAGAGAGAGAGAGAGAGAGAGAGAGAGAATTCCAGTCAACCCGGAAGGATTTTTCCAGTTGCGGGGAAAATTCCAAGTGCGAAGCTCGGCGACTGTTCTTTGCGGAAAACTCGTTCTTACGCGACAGCCGATAGCACGGTAACACCGTGCCGACCCGGGGTTCCAGAGAAGTAGTACGAACTTTTAATTAGGTGCGCGGGACCTCTGACGCCGTGACTTTAAACGTAAGGGCATATCAGACCGAGCTCTGACCTCCAGGAAAAGATCGATTCCGGGTGCCGTGCGACCGGGCTTTCGTCTCTTCGTGCGAATAGAACACTAATTGTAAATTCCTGAGTTCGCTTAACGTATAATTATCTCGTTTCCAATTCGGTTCTTCGGCTTTTGTTTCAGTCGCATACTTTGTATCCCCTGGTTTACCGATGGTTTTGCATTAGTATATTCGCGAACCGGTCATTTTCTCGCGTTTATAAAATTGGATACCGTGTTCTGGTTTAAGGTTCATAATTACGAAACTTGTTTTAAAATGGCAAGGTTGTAACTGCTTGTTAGTGAATTCTGAAAGTGATTAACCCTTGTCCGTCCTTTGTGACAATTCGACACATTTGTTTACTAAGAAATTATAAAAATAAATAAATATAATAGGCCACTTGTTGCACTTTTTGTGATACGTACTATGTACTCCTTGCATCTTTGATATTAAGAAATAATATTTCGACTGTGTATTCTACGTCCCCTGTGTATGTGCATAATCTATAAATCCACCCTTAACCCTATCATCCTTAAAAAAATTAACTCCTTAATTTCTTACTGGCAACTATGCATTGATCTGTGACTGAACATCCTAAAAAGCATTTCCCATAAGAAGTATCTAAAGTTTGAAAGTTCTCGTCGGAGATTCATATCATTCGCAGCGATCGCGATCTAAATTAACGAAAATTTGAAGGGAAGAGTAGTCAATTTGCAAGAAGCTTCAATTTTAGAGAAACTCTGGTCCCTCGGTGCCGGTACAAGCGAAGCAACGTTTAATCACTACGAAATTAGGATAACGTCGTGTTGTAGGGTCGTGGTTAAGCCGAACCCCGGGACCTAGCCACCTATGATGTGGTCTTTCAAAGTAGATATATGTACATGCCGTTGACGGAGGAAGACGCAATCTCCGACCAAGGAGAACAGAGAAAGACGGAAACATTTGCCAGACGCCTTCCGTAATCAAAGACCCACCATTGCGATATCGAAAGCCCTCAAAGTTAAAGCTACTCTAGCAGCTCCGTCATCACCTGCCACCAACCTCAACATCAAGGAGCCGATGGTGTTACACACCCTTGTCGAATCTGGTGTAGAGCGAAGCGACTACGTGATATCGAGTCTCGTGCAACGAAGTCAGATAATGTTGTACCCCATTTGTGAATATCGATACAAGTCAGATGAAATCTTTACTTATATTAATTTCAAATGTACTCGTAACGTGAAAACTTGAAGATAATTTTTATATTTTAGAAAAAAAGGTTAATATCTCATGGACTAATCTGTAAAGATTGGAAGCAAATTAAATTTTGTTCTCTCAATTAAATAATAATTAGTTTCAGCAGATTTCAAATAAAATAATAATAAGTGTTTGACTAGGTACTGACTTCAACGAAGGATTAATAAATCAATGAATAACAAGTGATCATTCGAAACACGGTCAGGCGGTATATCAAGCCATTTATCCCGTCTACTCAGGCAGAATAACGTTATCTCTTCAATATTAATAAAGTAAAAAAATTCGATAATTTACTGCGAGAACGCCGTCTTCATTGCGTCCAAGAATCCGATTATTATTGAATTCTCCGAAACCAATTTAAAATCGTTGACCAAGAGTTCTCGATCTTCGCTCGGCAACATTCAATCCTTATCGAATACCGTTCCGCAATTTATCAATAAAGGGAAATCGAATCTAGAATTTATATTTATCAGCCACGGGGCCAATGCACAGATGTAATCTTTCCTTTGCGTTCTTCGCCCGGATCGGGGGCTCGCCGATTATATTTGCCACCTGGTTCACCCCGACCGCCACTCTCTGTAATTGCGTTTTCATGACGATCGATGCACATTATTGTTGAATCGCGCATTAACGACGTCATTAATTCAAGCGTGCGACGTGAACGAGATCGCCCGGCCGTACATATGTCGGGAAGATTACGAAACGGCCAGACGGTGTACTTTAATGATCGGTGTAAATTGCACGAATCCTGAAACGTTCCTTTCAGTGTTCAGGTATTTTTCGTCCACTTGTGTTCCATTCCTTAACATTCGTATTTTACCTTGAATAGGGGCATTGCCGCGCTATGTGAGGATAATGAACGTGAAATTTAATCGAGTACACATGACTTCGTGAAATAATGCAGTTTGGGGGAAACGTGGTTTCATCCGCGTGACATTCTTTTTTATTCTTTATTCGCAGTTTGCGGTCTCTTTTAATTGACCGGAAGTGAAGTTGAATTTTTTAAATAATCTTCAAGCATTGGTCAATAAATTGTTGCATTATTTTTCCTTTAATTAAACATGGATTAACGAGGGGAACCTACGAACTGAGTCTCCCGTTTTTTTTATCAATGCACGCCTGTTGGTAAGCATGAAACAGTACAATGAGAGAAAAAAAAAATATTTCTACAACCAGTGAATTACAATTACCATTCGACAATGTCACTATCGTATTGCGTTAAAAATGATTTAGTTTCAATTACACCAGAAAAATTTTATCTTTTTATTAAGGTACAACTTGGGGGAAATAATTTTTAACCTAGTGTCACAATGAAAACAGTACTGTCAATCTATGGTAAAAATCATGTGGTGTATGAATACTTCTTTTCTCACACTGTATAAAATCTTCAGAAGCGACGGTATTACGTTTTCAATCCCTTTTACGTAATATTTTCAACCCCCTCGTGTTGATCCTGGTGCAGACATCGCTAACAAATATTAACATTCGAACGAATAATTAAGCGGAATTTCCTTCTTTTGTTTCTTCAATTTCATGGTCAACCGTCTAATTATAATTATCCTTCTTTCGGGAGGATTTGAAGGTGTACACGCGATACATAGGCGAATATGGTTTGACCTCGCCGTCGCTGTCGCCATCATCTCCCGTGGGATCGTCTCTGTCCGGTTTCGAGGATCGATATATCTGACTTTTCTCGTAGAGCGGCACTGCTGGAAGAAATATAAAGTTTATTTTTACCGGCACGAATGGAACAACCCCTTTAAATGAATGCGTTCGCCGGGAACAAAACTTGCCGATGTTATTTTTATCAAATGGAGCATTTGGTTCTCTCGTCCGTTCTTAATAATAATATGTACATTGGCGATTACAGGCACCGAAGCGTTCGAACGAAAGAATTAATCAATTGTGATTTTTTTTGCGTGGACTTTTCATAGAATTTAGCACCCTTTATCACGGTACGAATATTAATTGCATTAACCCCGCCCAGCGGCTGTTTCACTTTTAAATTGATCAAGTAATACTCCAGTACACAGGTCATGTTATATTTTCAATAGATAAAAAAGAATTTCTGATTTTAATTCTGTCTTTGTATAATACTTTATAAAATTTAATTTTGCATGAATTTCCACAGTCTAGTAAGAACGATCAAAAAACCATAATAACGAGTAATATCGCATCTTTCTATTTTACAGAAAAAATTCGTTTCTAAACGCATAGTCCATTAATGAACAGATATTTCAAGTGTTAATACAACCTAATATTGTTAGAATTCTATCAAAACTCTGAATTCCAAGTGGCGAAGCTTTCTAACGACTGACCAGGAGTACATTTACATTTTCCGCGAGAATACTCGAAACTGTCGCCAAGTACTTTCCGTATGTATATTTGTAATTAACATGTAGCAATCGTATATTCTGTAACGCGTACGTGTACGTACAAGACAAACGTGGCTTCGCAGTCTCCTCCCTCTCGATGTTTTTCAACGGTGACGCGTTGTTGGCGTGTTCCTCGGTGGTCGTTGTACACGGTGGATGAACTGAAAAAGCTTCCGTCGTGTCCACCGTTTTTTGCGGGACCTCGTAATTTTGGAGTGGTACCGTGCCAACCACTATATTTGTTCGAAGCTTCAAATTCTTTTGAAACATTCTGTAGTACCACTCGCTCACGTCTACACAAGACTCGACCTTTGGGGAAGAATATTTTGTGTTTAATTTACATGCATAATGCACATGGACAATAAATATGTATATACATCGTACCACTCGAAATAATTAGAGGATAGGTAAATATTTGATAGAATTATAAAACTTCGAATTCTTTGAAAGAATGCACGAACTATTCATTTAATATAAAGATTATATTAACTATAAAATTCTGCAAAATTTAATTGTTATAAGTTACAAAGTATTATTGTTAACTTTTGTTCTTTTTTTAAATTTGTTATCACAAATTTTGGTCTATAATGTTAGTATAATTGTATAAGTAGGAATACTTTTGTCCCTCACGGTATATACTTTTTTCTTTCCTTATCTTCCATTTAGTGGTTTTAACAGAATATTTTGCTCTTTTCGTGAACTAATAAAATTACTTACTTTAATCCAGCCAGTATTTAATGTATAAGTAAAACGGAACACTAAAACGAGGAAACATGGGTACGTTCATGATATAGATATGTCCTTTAAAGATTTCAGTAGTATATTATGTATATGCAAATATAGCCGATGTATATGTATACATAGTTTCGACATTGTTTCTTTAGAAACAAATGTCTAAATTACATTCTCCGATAAGAAACACTACCGAATAGTGTGCAGTAAATCATCAAACTCATTTCTGTGACCAAAAGCTAGTCCATTTTTATAGTTCAAATCAATCAATATAGTTTAAATAAAAAGTCCGGCAATTAAAACCTGAAGTATATAGTAATAATAATAGTAACATATAATAGTAAAACCGGAGCAAAGTACTCTGTGCGAAGAGTTAACGTAATAATAATAATCTCTGCAACAAGGATAAAAATAAGATTAGACTGTTTTATAAAATATGTTCTTAATTATTCGTAATAAAAAAAGTATTGTACATTGTATATTATTTGTTGCTTACATGAAGGCTCAGTGTACTATATCAGTTTTAGACTTAAACAGACATAGTACAAATACGCTATCAACCACGAAATTGTTATTTTTAATATAAAATATAACTATATATTTAAAAAGAAAATCATATAAAAAATGACCGATTAAATAGCATTAGTTCTAGTAGAATGTGCTCTTATTGTCGTACAGTGCGCTATTAAACTTCAGACAGTCTCACTTTAAGGGTGTACAGAACGTCGATGATGTTGCAGTGGATCATCCCCGTGGGTGGTACTGCAGGAACGTCGAACGTGACGTCGTGCGTGTTGGATTCTCTATTAAGTGGCTGTTCTATTTCTACTACGATCTCTTTATGCTTACGCGACTTTTCCGTGGAATGGTAGGTCACCACCTAAGGAAATTCACTGTTTAGGATAGGCGATGGTAGAATAGGAAATCGATAAAAGAAATATATCAGCAGCATGACCCAGAAAGTTTTACCGCAATACGCATCGACACATAACAATAATAGTCTACTGAAACAAAATTCTAATAAATCAAGAGTATTTGTTTTCCAATACACCACTATTATCTAAAATTACTGTAATTTTAAATAAAGCAAGATATAAAACATTCTGAGACACACCAGATATAAAACTACATAAACCACTAGATGTCCAACCAAAAGTTTTTGGCTTTTTTCCTTAGTCACATATTTCTCAGTACAAAATAAAAAAGTGACATGTATAAATGGATTCAGCTTTAAGATACTGTGATGTATTAAAATTAAGCATATTCTGAATATGGTATGGAACGAATTAATAATGGTAACGATCATTTGCATACCATATGGCGTATATGTAGGAGAAAGAGTAGTCCAAAATTCTTTATTTAACACTAGAACTATCAAATCCGATACAATTACGGATTTTAGATTTATTATTCTACAATTATTGAAATTATTGAAGTGTTTTCGTGGGTATTTAAAGCGACTTGTAAGTTATATATTTTACATCACACTATATTACGCTACACTGTATTACAGTAATGTCTCGATGAGTGCGACGTACTTACTGGGGTCCACTTCGGAGTATTCATGGCAAGGTGGAAAGGTTTTCAGCCCCTCATAATTTCGTTCTTTTGCCCGAATCCGAGCTTAGCTTCTTACCTGCTTAACTTCTGTTTACTCTGTTTTGATTAGTTTTAAAGTGGGACTCCCTCAGTGGTGGGAATAACGCCGTTGCTCATTCATCGAGGAATCACTATATATACATATACTATAGATATTGATGTATTACACAATTTAATTTAGTATACATTTTGTTCTGGTAGTTCTAATGTTAAAGTGTTGAAATTCGATAAAAAAGAAACCACGATAAACTGAAATGGACTTTAAACATTACGAAAAGACATTCTCAAAATATAAAATACAATTCTAAGAAATGTTCCCTTCATTATTTTACTGATACAATTGAATTTAACAAAAAGAACATTTATAACTTAATGAGAAGTTTAGATGATATGGTTGAACCGAATGAAAACTACGTATTTTAACGATTAAAACAATTCAGTTTGAACACGACTCCATTACAATCCATTACAATTCAGAAATTACCTACGCAAGAGCTTTCAGTTGGCACCACTACAAATACATTCTAATTACACAAAAATAAGGAAGAGGTTACTTTTTTAAAAATAATTCTGATTTTCTTAACCACGACCGTTGCCGGATTTGTCAGGATAATCTGTATCGGTATCGTTTGTCCTGGAACGTAACCATGAACCGGAAGACACATGGATATACTTAGCGGTTCTGTCTGCCCGATGTACACCTTCGACTGTTGAACGTGTATTGGTAACTGAAAAGGATCGTTCAACACAGTTTTTCTTTAAAGGTAATCGTAGCTAGGTGTCGTCAGCTGTTCAGGAAAAGCGTAAACGGCAGAGGCATTAATTCGATAACACATTTGGCCACCACCAGTTGGGAGAAAGAGGATCTCGATTAAGGTCAAGAATAGGAGCCACCGTGAATGGAATAATATTGGTGGAAAACCGATAAATGGTCGTTACGTCCAACAATGCTCTAATCGAGTACCGTACTCGCCCATATCGGCCCTCGAAGCTGCATGGCAGGTTTTCTGGAAGCGTCAGGCTGAACGGGTAGACGCCGCCGGTTATCATCGACTTTTCTTTACCATCTAGCCGTGATGAGAATCCGTTAATCCTGACATCCGGTTTTTTTCTCGTGTTAACGATCCGGACCCCGTCGGGCCCGCGTTCTACTTACCGCCCGCGAGATAAGTCTGCACGTACAGGTAGTTCTCGAACGCCGAAAACTTACGTCGGATCCCGGCCGATCGATCGGTGAAATACACCTGTGCTTCCCCCTTGTACTTAAGTCTAATTCCTGCATGCAGAAAGGTCGCACTTACAAAACGGGGATATGAAATAATTGGAAAATGGTACGGTATACGGGGGCAGCTAATTTTAATAGAGGGGGACGTTCAAACATTGGATTAGAGATCCTGGAGATTACAGGTGTGCAAATTATTGGAGACAATGTATGTAGTTCTTTCGCGAGTTGCCAGATTTTCATGGAAATGTCGGGAAATTGTAGTAAAAGAAATTATCAACGTGTGCTAATTGATCAGTTGGATGTTTGTTTGAGTTAGATGTTATAAGTGGTAATGAAGAAATAGTATGTGTACCAATAAGTAATATACTATTCTTTTGTTCAATTCTATATTCACTGTAATATTAATATTCTATATAATATTACTACATTTTGTATGAATTTTATGTGAATATTATATATTTATTAATATTCTATGTTACTATATTTAAAACTATTTTCAAGCATATTAAACGTCTGTGCTGTTTCTTCTCACTATTCTTAACAAAATAAGTGAGTAGAAAACGTTCTGAACTTAAATTATGTTATCAATTTACTAGCTCCCATAGTGGATTACTTGTTGGCAAATCTCATATAACAAGTTAATTTTGTTCTTTCTTCCACTTTTCCCAAAGAAAATTATTTTGTTATAAGAAATAATGAATTGTTATATTAAGTATTTCAATATTTATCTTAACATTAGTATGTTTTTGTTATTTCGGTGAATTAAAAGTATATTACATAAAAATATCAAATCAGCGTACCAGTATTATAAAAAAATGTCATATGTAAAAAGAGTTATGTTTTGTGTATTCATAACATAAGTTTAATAATTTACACACCTTTGTAAATCATTCATTAAAATTACCAAGAATTTGTAATCAGCATGTATGCTACTGTCGAATCGAAAAGAAGATCAACCTGGTCTATAATGAAAAAGAGTTCTCACTGTTCAATTTAGCCGTAATTGCAGTAAATTGTCATTCTATTATTTATAATTTCGAATCATGGTTTTCACAAATTCAACATCTTCTACAAAATTATAAGTAAACAACTTGAATATAAACAGATTAAAAAAAGTAGAAAGCAGTAGTAATATATTCATGTATTGAAAACTCAAGTGTCGGTTGGACAAGACTCATGAAGGTAAATTCTTATCTAGGGCTCTGCCGATTTGATCATCCGATGTTAAATCTCTTGATCTAGGAACAAATGGAACATTTCAACACTTTTACATTGTACCTGAGAAATGTTTCGACAATGACCACCCAAGCTGATTCTCATTTCATCGTTACAGTCCATAATACTAGCCAAGTATTACCTACTGAAACGAAAATTTACTCAAGTACCACAATAATCTAAAAAAAAAATAAGGCTAATCAAAGTACACGTGCAAGATTTATATGTATATAATATATTCAACAAACTATACCATTCGCGATAATAAACTTAAGTAAAGGTATACCGTGTACAACCGTTAAGTCGCTACGAATTCTCAGGGGTACCGGCGAATCCAATTTTCACTTTCCTCTGCTATCTGTTCCGCAAGCGTTCCTGCAGTACCAGAATCATGTGGCGCATCGTCCGGTGTATACATATAGCGACACCGATGTGTTTTAGGTCACCCGTTATGTAACCCGATCGATGGCACGTTTGGCACGCGTTCGACTCCGGGTAGCAGAGAAAATTTTTGTGATTGCGAACAGGGGTAAACATAGCGAGAATAAATATAAAGTTGCTCGGTGTGCCTCGTCGTGACAAGGCACGATTTCTCTGTCGCCGCGTCTATCGACAGCCGGTTTCGATTTATCGGAAGTCGTAATAGCGTAGCACAACCAGCGAGACTTAAAACCAGTTATGCCGCACCATGACGAATTTATTCAACAGTTGCATCAGTGATCACGTATTAATCACAAATTATCTACGCGAAGAACATCTGCAGCGAACTATTTCCTGTCGTTAGCTCTCGATCATCTGGTAGTCTCAAACTTTCACACACTTCCATATGGCGTACGAAGTGTTTCAAGATATTATTCCGAAAGTTTCAACGAAAATTTATAAGAAACTTACCCAGAGCGTGGACCGGTTCGGTAATGTCCAAGTAAATATGCCCCGAAACCTGCTGCCCGCTGTAATACACCTGTTGACGATGATCGAGGACGATATCGATACGCTGGAAGCCAATGCTGATCGCAAACAAACGTAACAATTATTTACACGAATTCACCTGGAGACTTGATTGATACCTTTTAGATAGCGACTCGATTATCGATTGGTCGGTTGCACAGTCTATCTCGTCATCCATAGTGTCGCACGTGTCTACGGATGTCTTAGCTACTTGCAGCTCATCAAGGCTTATACTTAGGGAACTTTCCAAGCACTGTCGTTACAAACAAATCGCACGTGTGTTCCTTTCAATGTGAGCCTATCACGAACGTTGTCACTTTTTATTCACCGGATACGATAATATTCCCAAGGCACACGCCTCGTCTTTTTGCTCCACCTGTCGCAGAACAATACCGGAGGTAACGCGTCAGAGCACTTCCGACAGCGGTCTGGAAAAATCTCGAGGGCGGGATTCACGGGCGCACCTCTCGGCCAGCTAACGGGTTAGGGACGTAGTGAGATGTTTGTTGACAAGATTCCAAAATTGCGGGGAGTCCTCGGGCGGCGGCGACGCATGCGTCAATCGGTTCGCCAATATCGGCGGCGACATTCTGTCGGCCGTGCTGGAGAACAACCTTTGCTCTTTCAGCTCCTCTGGCCCGGATAATCGAAGGACTCTCGTAAGAAGGGGGTGGGAGTGGGTGGGGGGTTAGGGAAACTCTTCCTCACAGGTTGCTGCACGCCGCAGTGGCGTAACACCGAATTAAGGACAGGCAGCGTAATAAGGGCACCCGTATCGACCAATTGATGATCACCTGAAGTGACTTGCAGTGTTTAAATTTTGCCGCATCGCTGGCACTTTTGTGTCGTCGGTGATGCGGCGGTACGGCTCCAAGACTCCCCGGCTCGTCACAGAAGGGTGATAATTCTCTTAGATTACGGGTCGACGACCTTTTATACGTTCAACGATTTATTATCGAGAAATTTAACCCTTTCCGACCTCTGGATTATTTCTTTCAAATAGACAAAAATATTTTCTTGGATATAGTTATTTCTTGGATGTTGAAGAATAGGAAAATTAAAGAAAATAAACAGAAACATTGTTCGTAAACAGGAACGAAGGTTTGTTAAACAATTCCTGAATATTATTTTCGAGAATGTATCCATCTAACAGCAAAAGTTCTTTTATCTTTGTAATTATCTTGTTCTTGTTTGATAGTTGAATCTATCATAAATCCATAGAACGTAAGTTTCTACCTCAATAAAAATAATATTTGTATAAAATATTACGTATTTTCTTTCAGTCATAATTTCTTCGAATTATTGGTATCAAAAAAATCCAAATTGAACAAAACATAAGTTAATAACAATTCATAAATAGTATGAAACATTATTAAAAGCTTTGTTTTAGTGATACTGATCACTGACACCAAATGGATTGCCCACTACATAGAACACCTGAACTTGGCACCGGCATTAAATCAACGAACAAGCTTGTAATTCGATATAGAATCCAAGGTTCGGATCACCGTGTATATTAATTCACCGCAGCTTCTTGAACGGTGGTGGTGGTGGTGGTACGAGGCCAGGTAGAAACTGCAATAGTTATTCACCATGTATACGAGTACACCGGTTACATCGTAGCCTGACTTCGTCGTCCATAGGCTCGGACCGGTTACCCATCCACCGATAGTCCCCCCTATATGGGGTGTAACACAAAAATGTTGGAGGACCCAGAAATGGGAGACTCATAAGGTGATTTGAAACAAGTTTTTCCTTAGCACAGCTTCGAATAACCTTTTTGCTATGGAGAAACTTGTTTCAAATCACCTCACGAGTCTCTCATTCCCGGTCCCTCCACCATTTTTGTTACACCCTGAATTATTGAGAAAATTTTCTTATTACGTCTAAGACAAGAAGCCCCGGTGATTTACTAACCGGGGCGAGAAAGAACTCGGCGTGAGCATGAGATCGCTAATTAAAGTCGTTCGTATTACGGAGATACCGGTCGAAAGCGTATGGCAATTAATTCTCCGCAATATCTGGTTACCGTGTTACACAGAGATACTTACCTGGCTCGATACATAAGGAGCGAGCGCGCAAGAAGGAACACGGGGAAGTTACGGGGGCAATTCGTGCGTAACGAGGTGAATTTACTACGGTGCTGATCCTTTCGGCCATTTTTCTTAGTGTATCGTGCTTAACTCGTCACGTACCAATTGACACGACGTTTGAAACTGTCCGCCATAGCCAGCGGTTTCGATTCACGTTACTGCGTCGAGTAGCGATGGGATCAAGTATTAGGTGGTTAACTAAATTAATCGACGAATTAAAAATTTTTCTTTTGAATCTATTTGAATATTATTGTAATTATATTGCGATGAAATGAATATAGTTATAATGATATTCCAGTCACTTGAAAAGAATCAAAAAATTTTTTTCAGGGAGGAGGATTTTGAAAAAATTGCAGATAACACATTTTCTATGCGAATCCTCTCAAATCTCCGTTATCAACTGATACGGGGAAACCTAATATTAATCCCTGCTAATAATGTGCACTCCCGTCGTCCCGTCGCAATAGATATCCCGGACCAAAGGGTGAAAGCCCTGTCGCGTATCATTAATGTCAACAGGAATGGTCAAAGTGCTCTTATCGATAAAGGCGTTAATGTAACTTGTGTAAGAAGTATCTACGTTCAAATAGCAAAGCTAATGTCCTTAAACATTTTGTGTACCAATTGTTAAAATAAAATATGTGTTAAGTAGTTTACCTTTTAATTGCCAGAATAATGATTAAATGATCGATGATGTACTTTAGAGTGTATTAGCTGAATAGTTACGGTACTCCCTTGAAATTTTAGAGCCTCGTCCTACAATTTAATGATAACTTTATGAATATACTTATTTAATGAAAAATTTGTGTCTGGTAGCATTTTAGGATTAATTAAAGAAAGCGTAAACACATCGGTTTCAAAAAATAAATATTACATTTATTTAACAAAAAAAAAAACAAAAATATAGTTCAACAGAAAAGAAATTGCAAAATTTCTATAAAGTCATTCAGTTTTTACATAAGTAAAGTTGGTAGTTAACAATTGTTTTTCACTATTTCTATATCGTAATTATTAGTACTTAGTGTAACCTTCATTTTTTAAAATGCAAATAAAAAAACAGATAAGATGGAGCAATAAAATTAGTGGTATTTTGAAAATATCTATGAAAATAAAGATGACTTTATAAAAATTTCGGCCAGTGTAATATGGTCCTCCCGCAGAAAGAGGCGGGTGAAGAGGGGCGGTAATTATTATCATTGGAATTTATGGGGACACCGGGATTACCCTTCCTCTTTCTCTCTCTCTCTCTCTCTCTCTCTCTCTCTCTCTCTCTCTCTCTATGTCCAGCGCCCGTGGAACTGCAAGAAACTATTATTACCCTTACTCGTGTTTCTTGTTTTGCCGTTCCTCCTATCCCAAAGGACCTCGTGTCCCCGTCCGAGGTCATAAATCAGCGTCCGTGTGCGCGCGTGGCCGCCAGCCATGCGCTCAAGAAGCATTCTATCCCGATAAGAAAGAGGAATCGAACGATACAGGTGCACCGTGCACCCTGTAAGAAAATCGAACCGGTTACGTGGACCGCCGAGAATCCTCAATAATTCCTACAGATAAGATATCACCGACCGAGCTGTGACTTGCTACAATTGCCGTTTAATTGCGGGGCGACGAAAGAAAACTGGGTCGTATCCTGTTACAAGCCTCCGCGACGATCGAATAAACATCTTCACACCAGCGTCTGATCGGCTTGATTAATACAGTTCGGATGATTAGTTAGGAATGCGGTGCAATGATTTTATTGGGCCGCGAGAATCGTTTATTTTGGTGCATTATATGAAACGCTGCATGCAGTAATCGTGTAAGTCGATTTTTAATCAATTTTATTTCATGTCATGGAGAGGCTAGCTCTGACTTTATTCTATCATATGCATAATTGCTGTATATGCCTAGGCTCACTGATGATTCAATAGGAGGTATTGAGTATATCATCTCAATGTGATTTGATATTAATCTATATCGACATAATTATCAGGATACACTCGGTATAAGCATCACACTCAATTATCCTGCCATGATACAGTTAATGATCATATCCAATATAATTGGTAGGATATAGTCATGTATCAATTCAGGAGAGGTTTTAGAAGATATTTTCTAGACCTCTAAATACGATATATTAGAAACATATTCATTGACTTAACCATTGGTACTGTATCCAACGCATTAGTATTCAAATTTCCACGTAAAAAATAGCGGCAAGATTTATATTTTAACAACGTGATTCACGGCTGATGACAGGAAGCAATTATCGCGACGAATTAATTCGAAGGCAATTCGTTCACTTCGCCCCGCAAAACGACCTCGTCGATCGGATCGGTCCCGAAAAGCCGGAAATTTCCGCGTCGGATCGGCGCGCGGTTGTCGCGATTACTTTCAGCCCGGGGATCGTCATCCCAGCGGAACGGCCGCAAATCAATGCGTTCAGCTGGAAACGTAAATTACGTTTCGAAGGGACGAAACGTTCTAATTCGACCGGGCCTTCCACTTCGCTCCGCCACGAGGATTCGCGGTACCACTGGTAAATGGAGTTAGTTTCCGGAATACCTGGATGCTTCACGCACTAACGAGTTCCTGATGTTCCACGTGCCGCAATCTCGGACCGCAGCTTCGTTAGACGGAGATAAAGCGTTGCAGCAGCCCGGCTGTAGCGATCGTCTGGAAATTGCGCCTAAGTGCCACCTAGGTGGAATCCGTCTGAAATCTTCCTGGCTTGTTAATTCGTCGCCGAAGGCGTCTTTGATGTATCGAATCGTTCAGGGAAATTAGGGTCGAATCGGTTGACCAATTCGAATATCAGTATCGATCGTAGTGCAATGGTAGAAAATATGGATAACTTTCTATGACATAAAATAATATTTGGGGGTTTGCTACAGTTAGTGATCGGACTGATACCATATCAATCCTATCGATTCCAGCTCGCAAATTATGATACCGTATTGAATAGTATCAAAAACCTGTAGGTATCAAATATAAACTCATAAACAATTGATCAAAGTTACAGAAAAATCGGTGCCTATCACTTTGAGAACATCCCTTGTTAGTCTACATTAAACAAAATCTAACTAACACTAGTTTTCTGAAGCGTAATTGTTATTATTTGATGCCAAAATGTTTTTTTATTATTATGGCAACATATTTTGTGAAAGTAGAGGCAATAGTTTTTTGTGCACTGGCAATACTGAAAATAAGTTTGTTTTTCTATAAAATTTTCAAATGGTCCCATTAATATGACCAGGGACTGTATGCACGATGCATAACTAATATTTCTTAAGTAAAAGAATCAATCAATATCAATCAGACAATAAACTTATGACTCACCCTAGTAGGTTTTTGTCGAATGCATATTGGTGTAATGCATGCACAGGCAAAACCGTCCTCAAAATTACGTACGTCAATCTTTGAATTTCTACCTAGTGGACGTAGCGAGTATCCATTATACAGTTTCCTCTTTAAACGCATGTTCATCAAATTATTCGCTGAATACCATACAATGCGTATCATTGTTCCTTGAACAACGCCCTATACGTTTCGGAATATGCTATTATCTCAGTACATGGAGATTACAGCTATTGTCTCGGTCTAATAGCACCATGTTGGTGTAATTAATAATACATCACCGATGCCAGAACGTGTTGGGTGGATGTCAGCAATATTCCACGGTATATCGACTGCCTTGATATCCGGTGAACTGCATTACCTGATTAAACTAAAGATCGGGGGTATGAGTCTTCTTGGTCCCACCCGCAGCGTAGTTTAGTATAGACGCGTCGTTAAGCTATCAGGTTGCCACAGTAATTGCTGAATTTCATGACACTGTCACGTCACTTACCTGTTCCTCCATTTCTAATAAATTGGGACACTGTCAAGCTCTGCGATTTAAATCTGTCACGTAACATTGCAAGTAACTAAATATGGAACACAGACGGGTGGTTGAAATAAGGTTTCGTGCGAAGCAGAAACCGCATACGATGTTGCACGGATATTGTAGTAGTCCCACAGGCGATACATCATTTTACCGGTAGCAGTATGTAGTTGGGTATTTAGGGGACTGTCCATGTACTTACATCACTCTGTGTCCACAGGGGAACACGGCGGAAAGTCGGTCAGGAAGCATCGTGGAAAACACTTGGTTATGCTCGCGTTGTGAAACGAGCCCTGAGTAGGAGAGAAGTGGGCACTTCAGACTCGTTTAGGTTCCTCGACGTTGCTCCCTTGCTCGTAATATCTGCCGAATATCCACGTAGAGTCGCGGTGGTCCGCTTACCCAAAAGCAACATCTCTCATCTTTCGGCCGTAATCGTTTCTTTCATTAAATTTACAGGTGCCATCTTCGAACCATTTTGGAAAGTTCAGGGTTGCGAATGTTTCCCGGGGAGGGAACACCTACTTTTTACACCTGTGTGTTCGTAATACGACGCTGTGGTGGTCATCTTCAAGGGGTAAATGTAGCGTGATGAAATACAGACGTTTTTCGGCTCGTGATATAGAGCTGTCTGCTTGAAATATGGTAAGAATAGTGGAAAGAATTTTTCTAGTTTTCGGATGCGTCCAAAAGAGAAGTTTGTTAAAACTGAAACTTAAAATGTGGTAAGAATGGGGAACAGAATTTTTTAACACTCCGTGACACCCGTTATTTTTATTCCGTCACCCCCCTCGGTCTTTTACGTTTAGACGTATCTTTTCTTATTTTTTGGGTTTATAAAAAATCTGAAGGTAAATTCAGACATACTTCTCTTAGTGCGACTTTAGACATTTCAAGCTTTTTATTTGTCATTTTCAGCATTTTACAGCCATGTCAGGTTACAAAGAATAGTCTATTAATTTTCATATTTCTGAAATATTTATTTCTTGAATTACAAAATATTATAGTGTCTCTCTAGCACTGCATTGGATGTCTCAGAAACTCTACTATTGCAGCTATTACAATTATTTATAATTTAAGTTACTATTTCTGATACTAAAAAAAGATCAAGAGAGATTAATCAAGAAATTATCCAAGAATGAGTGATTTGATAAATAGGCGTAGATTTCTAATTTATGTGTCACTATATACAATGTATTGAACACATTATTAATTTCATGATATTAGTAATTATATGCAGTACATTATTATTAATGACAGTACAAATTATTAGGTGGACCCAATAAGTACTTCACTACGTTTGTCTTAATAAACCGATTATTTAAATGCAAAACATCTTTCTGCCTTCTTCATCTTTAAAAATGCTAAACAGCTTCAGAAATTTATGACTTCTTTAGTAGTATTTGGTCTCGTACTTCGAAGCTGTTTACCATTTTCTAGAAAAACATTATTGGATTTTAGTAGATATAATAGATTATTTATTGGTACTCCTATACAGGGTGTACCAAAATAGTTGTAAATTTTCCCTTTTCAAGGACTTACAACTACTTCGGGACACTCTATATAGTATATTACTAATAGAAATATATGATTCGGCTCTTTGAATTCTAATTACAAATATTACAGTAAACAAATAATTATAGCACGAGCTTCCGGATGAATGAAATCATAAAAAAATAATGTAACTTAGAACGTTATACTGTAGTAGAAAAAACAGTAAGTTTCAAATATCTGAGTCACTGAATATATGGAATATGAAATATTACTGCACGAGTGTCGTGATAAAATTGTAACTGCTCTTTTCGACTACACGTTAAACCACGAAACAAATATAGTCGCCAGGGTAATCCATTGCTCAACGAACGCGACATGTACTTCCAAATTTACCGGAAATTCGAGGTGGAGATCCTCGTGGAAATAGTTTCATAAACAACGCTTTCGAATTCTCTCGATGCTGGGAACTGGCGCGAAACCAGGATTTCGTTGGTGGTGATCCCGGTCAGATTTTCATTAGACTTTCCGTGGAAATTTCACGGGGAATCGGATTAACCAATTTTAACACCGACGAGCGTACAAGAGATTTTCATCAGCACTGGGACCGGCTATGATCGATCACAGGTGAACCGACGTTGTATCGATTGCCATTCCTGAAAACTACGGGCTTCCAATAATGTTTTAAAGTCACTAAAACACGGATAAATTAAACCATCTGAATAATTATGTATGTCCTATAAACATTTTATTGCCACCATAAGACATATTCTGTGGGTGATCAAATTATTAGAGCCATCTGAATAAATTGACGATTTTACGACTTTAACTCGATTTTTTATAATTATATGAGCTAAGTTCATTTTGTTTATGTATTTCGAGGGGGAAATTGTTAATTAAAAATTATCTACTGTAAAAACCATGATTTTGCGATGTTATTTCTACAGGTACATAAAAAACATTTTTCCTACTGTGGTTCTAATAATTCGATCACCCACTCAGTACATATTTTTGTATGGAACGTATGTCTCTTAATTAATTGAAAAAAATAGCTGACCTGCTTAAGAGACCACAGCGAAACAAACAGAATATTAGGCCTTGTTAAGACAAAGCAGAGATTATTGCAAAATGAAATTTGACATGAGAGTACAATGTTGCAGCAGGATATGTAACGCGGTGTCCGAAATTCAGACACATGGGGATCCGAATGCACCCGCTAATTATTTGGTTGTTGAGTATCTAACGAACCGTGACTACTCATTGTCCGGTTCGTTAACACCCCGACCCCACATACACCCTGTCACGCTCGCACACGGACGAAACGAGATAATTGCTCTGGCCAATTGTAACATACGTGACGTTTTACGTGTTCCGTGTTTATAAAATAATGGAATCGACGCCGGAAACCCGGCACTGTGCCCTCGATGATTATAGTCGCAATTGAAAAAACGTCGACCCTCGATGCACGATTGCTTGCAAATGGTTTATTATATGTATAATATATTAACGCATTCGCTGTCCATGTAACAAAAGGTCTGGGTTAGGTTGAAGAATTCTTCATTTTTAAAGTGAAATATTTAAATAGAATATATTTCAGAATTTATCAAGTTATTTACATTAGGCGATTATTGTTATATATAGAAATTCGGAGTTGACAGTATCCAGATACAAACTCTTCGTGACCATTTTCCAGAGACACTTCTCTATAAGGATAGGAATGGACAATAGAGAAGAGCAATGCACTCCTGGCATCTGCAACGCACGTTCGAACATCTGGACTTAGGTAAGTGAAGACATTGGGTTGGAATCACGGTTACTTTCTCTATTGTCCCTTTCTATCCTCACGAGGAGTGTCTTTGGAATAGGACACGCGAAATTTGTATATACATATATAACTGTTTTCGAAGAGCTTCGGAAGGTCAGAATCGTTTCGGTAACGACACACAGTGGTCTGAATCGTGTTTCTAGCGCGAAGAAAGTCCAAAAATAAAAGTCTTCGTTTCTTACTTTTGGGTATTTATTAGGATTGTAAAAACCTTGGAGTATAAGAAATCATAAAGCATTTCAAGAAATGGCAGTCGAAGAACACGTGGGATTCAGGTATATTACAGTGCGCTCTCGACTACGGGTACGCGTCCTCATAAAATGTCACTAGCATTTAGCGGTATACAGTTGTGAATTGCAAGTGTTTTGCAGTTTTCGTGATTTTTCTGTGATGGTTTATCTTTGCTCAAATATGTAATACCTTTTTTATTAATCTTTTATATATTCCATAGTTAAGTTTGTTGCAGTTCTTCTCATAGTTTCTGTTATCAGAAAAAGGCAGACATTTGCAGATGTTGTACTTTTGGTATTTAATAACACAGATCTTTAAAAACTTATCAGTATAAAAATAATTTGCACATCTGTGTACTTTCTTGAGTTATGAAACTTTTTATAGAGATATCACAGTGTGAAGCAGTTAGATTTATTCGTCAAATGGTACGCTCATAAGTATTTGAAATTCTAAATTTGACAATTATACAAAAGAGACTGCGAAATTGTTTGTAACATGTTATCCCTGGTTTTACATGACGGTAACTGTCCATACGAATTTAATGCATGATATGTCCAAATGACAAAGCAATGGTAGGCCCATGCCACTACGTGTAACATTACACTTTCATTCTATTCAGACAATTACATACACAAACGATAAACTAAAAATTGTATTATTCAGCACCTCATTAATCGTACTTCTCAGCATTTATCAGTAAATATACTTCAAATTAAACATTATGTGACTCACCGTACATGATAAAGTACATAATAGCTTCCCAAAAAGGATTTTAATGTTCTCACACCAGAATTAATAGTAATTACCCTAAAATTTTTATTCAAATAGCTCTATAACATCCAATTGAGATTCAATGATGTTGTTTTAGATACATTTTCGCTCCCGTACCCCGGTAGTCCCCAGTTCGTCGAGATCAAAGGGCTCAACTAGGTCACCGCCGTAAAACGCTAAAAAATTAAATGGAAGATGCAAATGAATCGCCCTGTTCCCAATGATGAAACATTTCTCCAGGGTAGGCCGGGTAGTGGGGTGAGAAGGGATGGGGGCTGGGTTGGTCAAAGGATGTTCAGAAGTTCGTTTGCTCGGTTGGGGCTATAAAGAGTTCAAAATAAAGGTATTAAACAAAATGCTGACGCGTTGAGAAAGTGACGTAGTTCCGGCTGCGAACGGTCCCGGGGATGAGATAGAGGCAGGTGTGGGTTTATGCAAGACAAGCATTTCGCCGCATAATATCGGTCTTAAAATGCACTTTATTAAAATAACAACCGTGGAACAAAGTTGAGTCGCGCCTGGAAGATAACTCGATCTGAAAGCAGCATATTCCAGCGTATACTTAGCGAGTTGCTGGTTTATTGCGAAAAAACAACATACAATTCGCAGATGATATGTAGAAGGTAGTGAATAACAAATATATTTGCATACTCTATTCAAGAAATATATACGGAATTGAAACAATATACAATAGTGAGAAATGATATTTGAAAGTTTACTGCAATTGAGATAAGAAAAAGGTAATGAAATTTATGAATCTGTGAGATTATTGTTGAAAAGAACGTGTGCATAAATACTTTTTTCATCGACTGTGTACAAGGTTATAAATATCGACGTGAACTTTTTTTTAAATTGAATGGTTCAAGGGGGCTAATGATTTAGTTAGAGTGTAAAATATTTGGACGAGGGAAGTCTGCTAGGGGGTAAGGGACCACTATTTTTGTAAAAATGGAATAGAGTAAATTTTCCAATATTCTTATAACTTTTATCCAGCCTGACAACATTCAGATTGAAACATAAAACAGATGGGCTCCTTTCCCTTCTAAGACATCTCCCCCCCCCCCTCAAATAAATATTTTTCATAATTTAATCAGCCCCCCTGAACCATTGTTCACAGCTTGTAACACTATGTGGAACACCTTGTACATATAGAGTAAATCCTCGATAAGTGTTCGAAGGCGTCCCCAGGTGTAACGCTTACTTTTTAATGAGGTTCAGCACATTGTAGAACTTGGAATTCTGAAGCAAATCATATTTGTTTCAGCCGCTTGTGTACATTAGTTTATGAAATATTTCATGTTCAGTGCTGAGGAGCCTTTGAACACTCGTCGAGGATTTACTGCAATTCTCTTTTATGCGGATATTTTTTAACCTTTACAAATATTTCACGATATTATTGCTACAGTAAAGCAATTAAACAGTAATACTTAATAATTGAGCTCTGTTATACAATATCACGTAGAATAATTAATTTTTTGTTAGTTCAGTAACGTTTTTGTAATATAATATCACATTTCTTATTATAAACCGGGAACTGGTGTAATCAGCGCACATATAATAGTTTATTCTCGTATACGTACAGTTACTATTTTGTCATTAGTATTGATTTGCTGTTAGTGAATTGACGATAATATTGAGAAACTTTACTTTCTGTACATTTTTTAATTTTAATTTTTCATTTGTTCATGATTCTTAAACAATCATTTTTTAATTTTTACTGATTCTTGAAAATCATTGTTAGAATAAAAAATATTAAAACATATTTTGTTACATGGTCTTTATCTTACATGCTATTTAGAATTTCCAGTCTAAAATATACTTCCAAACATCTTAAAGATACTTCTCACTTCCTCCTAACATTTTAAAAAAGAATGATAAATATTTTACATTAATTAAAACTTAATATTTGCCTTAAATATAATAATAATTAGATTGAGGATTTTAGACATTTATTGCCTATAAGGCTCTGTGAAATACAATAAAAGACAAAACTCATCAGATGCAACGAGTTTTTATTTTACTCTCAAACTAATACGATACTCAGTACTCCAGTCGTTAGGCATAAAAATCCGCAGTCTAATCGTAATATTATTCTATAAAACCCTTAGAACAATAATATAATATTATATGTCGTCTTTAGTATATTATAAAAATATAAATTTCATTCGCGAATAGTTTGCAACAGTTAAAATTCTATAGGAACATTCTTATTTAAAGGTACGAAAAGTATAACTTATAATTTATAGGATCCATTGTCACCAGTTATGGAACTTATCTTTGGTGTAGCGTTACTATGGTCTGTTCCACTAAAGAAGAGCCCTAATAGTGATTTTAGTTTATTTTTCTTGGAAATCATAAAATTACAAAATTGTTTTTAATTTATAAAATATTTAATGTTCAGGGCCGAGTAATCTTCGAACACTCATCGAGGATTTACTGTATACCAACATACCTTCTCAAACATTCATCTCTCCAATGTTCCGCCATATTAAAATATCCTGTACGCATCGAAGTCAATAGCTGCCAAAAATTCCCGATGCCGTTGCGTGACCACCGGCACCGTGATCCCAGTGTCCAACTTAACATTTAGCTCCTGCTCCAAACTGAACGCAAACGCCGACACGTTCTCTTTATTCGCCCGCCACTTTGAATTTTTCAACAAGCTTTGGTGCACAGGCCGCGACTCTTTGCTCTCTGTGGTGAAATTCACTTGGCCGCAGATGTTATTATTTCGTTCCCGTAATGGAATCTCGAATTCGTGCCTGATGCTGGTCCTAAATCGCTTCAAAATAAGCTTCTTGGTTGGTAGCTCGACCGAGATAGAGGATACAGTGGAATCGGATAACACTTTTGCATGGATGTTTTCTTCGTCATTTTGCAACACCACCTTTTCGATGTTCTCCCCCGACTTGATCGCGATCTTCATAGTCTCGTTCGCCTTCTCTGCAGATTTCTCATGTGTTTTGTTTTTCAACTTTTGCGATGATACACTTTTCAGGTGAGATTTCAACTGCCGATCGGTGAGGAAACTTATTAACGGTATGTCTTCGATTTCGAAATCGCTGTAAGTGACCGAATACTTCACGCTCATTTCGGACGCCTCTTGTCTGTCCTGCTTCATGCGAATCCTCTGAGAGTACCGTTTCTTTAATTCCCATTTGTAGGAGCATGTTCCATCGGAACTACGGTATAATCGCTGGATATGTTTTTCGTTGTTCAATGTATCCGAATTGCTGGTGATTTTGTATTTTGTCTTTGACAAAACTGCATTCGAGCGTGTTTCTGGATGTCTTTGTTCGCAGTGCAGGTAGTAGTCTCCTTTTGTGTAGAATATTATTCCTGGAATATAGAGGAAAGATGATCATTTTAATGTATTTATGATTCCATGAGAAAAATGGTTTAGCTACCTTCGGGGAATCTGTGAATTTATAGACCAGATATGAGTGAAGCCGTAATAACACATTTCGTTGTGACTTTGTTGGACAACATATTTTTGTGACTTGTAAAATTTTCTACATCTCATTATTACCTCTCACGGAACTGATTTGTTTTATAATAACATCATTATTGATAACATGCATAAATACCTGTACAGTGGGTGTTACCAGTTGTTACGTTTTTCAATAGTACATATTAAAATAAAATTTCTATTGGATGAAATTTCACCCATGGTAGTTTTGAAATGTTAATAGCAATTTTTCGCCATTGTCTACTCAGATATTTGCACACAATCGTTCTACGTAAATCATTCGATTTCGTATTCACTCATTTATTGATTCGTTCATCGCGTGTGAGGTCGACCACAATAAACAGCTATGAACAGCAAAGACGAAACCGAAACCCAAACGTCGGGATTGTTATTGCAGAGTTACTCAAAAGAAGTCATTTTTATCGAACGGGGGACAGAAGAACAATAAAGAACGCGTGCGTGCGTGGCACAATCTGTGCCGCACAGTCCAACTCTCGATTCTCCGCGTCACTCAGTTTATTTGGACCGTGCCGAGTTAATCGCAAGGATCTCCGAAATAAGAGCCCGAAAGAGCGTTCGTATTTATCAAACAACTTTGGCTCCGCGCCGCGACTTTATCTCCGCAATAATCTAAAATTTTGTTTAAACTGCCGAGAGTTCGAGAACTGAAAATTTCAGTCTGAAAACATGCTTTAGAGATTATAATTCGATAACTGAGTGTCTGTTTACTAAACTAACACCATAAAAATATAAAAATAAGAAGAGTTAAACACCACAATCAAGTGTTTTCGCACTAAAATTGGAAAATATTCAAAAAGTGGAATTAGTCACTTTGGCCTGTGAACGGCTTAATTATTCTTCAGATTTGTAAGTGACCACCAGTGTCGTGCATTGATCGATAATTATTGCGTATCTTACACATATTGTTGAAATTAATGTTTTCATATTGTCAGACGCAGTAAAATTCTCTTTCTGCAACTGGAATATACAACGATTAAATTGTAATACGTTAATTGTTGATTTAATGTTAATAAAGATTGCAGGGGAGCAAAAATATTATTTTTAATACCATAATTCTGTGAGCTGAAGTTCGCGCTGACACCAATTTTATTTACGACATCTAAATTTCATGAAGTTCTGGTAAATTTCCTTTTCTGCAATCTCACTAACATAAGGCTTATATATAATGTACCCACAACTTATCTTGTTGAATTTTAACATAAACTAAACATATAATATAAAATTCAGACATAAATAACTGTCGTTGTAAATAATGCAAATGTTCCACATAATACTAATAATAGTATGTATTATTATTATTACAAAAAAGATTCTGTCCGTGCATGAAATGTCATCGTAACTCATCTTTAAAAGATTACTTGTAATAATGAAGGAAAATATATAATAAATTAAGAATTAAATTTTTTTTTTAATTGAAACAGAATACAGAACAGTTCAATTTTTACAATTTCCACCAATTGTTGTTAAACTTAAATATAAATGGAACAACAATAATGTTGCTCAATATAATGAAACAGCAAATGTTGACTGAATTATTAAGGCGAACAATAATCTACATAGTTCCGTTTTATATTATGATAAATGATGTTTAATTACCACAACAGTTGTGAACTCTCTTCTTGACATGAATTCTCTCCCTATGACGTATCACGTTGAATCGACGTGGACTTTCGTATTGGCAATTGGAGCAGGTGTAAATCGTCATTACTCCCACCCGTCTTCTCGGCACCCTGTGATCTTCCCTCTGATTACTGAAAGGCGTATCAATGATGTACCAAATTTTCTGCGCAATAAAGTCTCAGAAACTTCGATCTGAGCTCGCATCGTCCAAATATTAATCATTAAAAAACATTGTAAAACGAAAGAAACAAAATGGGAGTAATATTCAATTCTATTAAATTATTGAGCCACTGCACATGAAAAGTTCGATTTCAAAATGAAAAAGTTTTTTTAAATCTAACCCCAGATCGGACACATTTTGTTGAAATAATTTTTACGATGAACTTTAAGAGCTTTTTCAATAATTGACCAGAAATTTTAGAAACTGTTTCACGGCTGAAACTCCTTCCGAGTACGCCATTTGCATGTCTTCTAAATACTTAAGGAATGAAAATATATTCGCGAAGATCACTGGAATATGAATATTTCAAAAGCAAAATTCCATATTTGATTATATTTTTTATCACGGTATTTGATACGTTAGCTATTACACTGTTTTGTAAGGAACCAGAATATGCGAATCCTTTTTCCGATAATTTCACATAGATATTTTATGAAGCAGTCCTTTCTCTTTATCATTCCATGTCCCAGAACTATTTAGCTACCGTGTTATTCTTATTATAACCGAATGACGACTCGAAACATTGAACAATAATGTGACATTTTCACATTACACAATTTACACACAAACTACGCAACTGCTTAATCCCTTGCCATACGATTTTTTTTACGCCTTCACTCTCCAGAATTACTTTATCGTTAAAAATTTCCCCGACACAAAAGGATATCTATTCTTATGGCAAGTGTCACATTTATTCTAAATCTTAAATATTAATACCAGCGGAACAGTGTTTCACGTCGACTCAAAGAAAACGAATAGTATGTTCACTAAATACGGTTTGAAGTCGTTATCACATGTCTTACTCGGTGTTGTAAGGCTAGGGATTAACAGTTCTCTCAAAATTGTTCCGTGAATCCCAAAACCAACAAATTGTACTCAAATGTCATTATTAGCTCCATTTATTCTCATTATATATTCCGTTTCGACAAAAGAAACGGAGATTCAGCTGCACCATGCACATTTAACAACGAAAGTAGAGGTACTATGTGTATAAAAAATATTTCAAGCATTTTCACATAACCCATCCAGAGTATGTAATTAGAATGTTAACGTGAAAAGTTGGATAAAACGTGACAACGATCCTTACATTTCCTTCATCCTTGTACAAATGTTTGTTCGGAAATCGTAAACTGGCTGCGTGAAGACGCGAACGACGTTCTCCGCACGCGACCACCGGACTAACTGAGGCCGGTGCTAAGAAAATTCAAAAGGAAGGTTCACGATTGACACCATCGAAACAGACGCACGTGCGGCCAAAAGTCGGCGTTCACCCCTCTCACGTCTTTGCCCTCGCGGCACCGGCTTTAACAAAGTCTTGGCCGAAAATAAACTATTTCGCTCGAGCCCCATTATCTTTGATCCGATCGAGAAAAAGTGAAAAACAAATCCCGTAGAATGTTTACAACGTTGCACTGACTTTTGTCCATTGTGAACATTAACACAGGGCCGTTCCTGGCGGAGGTGCAGAAGGTGCCCCCGCACTTAGGTGGCCAAACTCAGGGGCAGCTGAAGATCCTTTATTAAAAGTAAAACTTCGAATAGTAAGAATAATAAACAAAAGTTTTCTGATGATTATGAAAATTTTATACCTACCGAATTTAAGCAAATTAATTATATATGTAATCTTTGTAACAGTATTCGTATATACGAACTGTCATTATAGACACCCCAAAATAGCATATGACATTTAGCCATATTTAGTGAATTACATAAATTCGTGTTGGTAATTAATGGTCGCTATTCATTAATCATAACATTATTATTACAAACATTATCCGTTAGTTTCGTACTTATATGTGGAATAAAATATTCATTTTAAATAAAACCATTCATTTTTTACGGATCTTTGTTTCATTTTATGAAAATAAAACTTAAAAAATTTTTTCTGTTTTTATAAAATAATATTAAAATTAATAAGTGCGGCGATACTTTTTGCACGCGGGCGGCCAGCAACCCAGGAACGGCCCTGCATTATATTTTCACACTTTGTAGGAAAACTGGGTCGTTTGGGTTGTAAAAAAATTTGAAAAAAGAACTATCACGGAGTAACCAGGGTGTTTCGTGAAAATTGAATTTTATATTTTTTTAATTAAATATACTTAGTAAAATTATTTTTTTTTTTAAACTTATTATTTATTTGTATGATGCCTGTCTTTCTGGACATGTAAATACTAGCAGTTAAGAGAAAATTTCTAAAACCATCACGGACTAATCAGAATTTACCCTACTTTACTTACCACGTTTTTTTTGGGGGAGCCGGGGATTCATTTTTTTTAGTGAAACCCTCCATTTATTTGTGACTTCGAAATGATCGTGTTCCCGATAATATCGAATTTTCCATGTATACGTAAAGCGCATTTCTGAAACACTTTCAATGTCGTTCGACCAGGGGACGCCATGCATTTTAAGCGTTACCTATCTGCCGAGAAGTCTCGCAAAAAAAAACGACGCTTGAATAATAATCAGTGTTAATTACAGACGTGCGTAATGGCCTCCGGTCCGAATAATGTGCTTGCAAGCTTTCTGATACCATTGCTCGTGCTAATTGTAAATGAATCCAATTTGTTCTTATCGTTTCTTTTTTTAACGAGACGACGCGGATAATACAATGCTGATTGAAATTGGCAGTATGTAATTCAGATAAATCTTCTTTGTACTTGCTTGGTATGTAATTATTTATTCGTCAGTCAACATTTATTAATTATTAATATTTCAAATAATGTTTAAAATATTAATAATACCTCATTGACTATTACTTATTATGTAATTTGATCAATTTAATGTACGATTTCGTCCAGTTTTACAAATTGAAAATGAAACAGCAATATTTCATAAGATATTAATGATTTTTATGATAAATTATATAACATAATTTTCTTCTGGAAAAAGAAAGTGTGTATACAAAATTTAATAAACATAATACTTTTGATACTTCTGCAAAATGACGAAAGGAGTGATTTTTAAAAACATTTCGTTTTACAAGTCATGTATACATATGTAGAACCGCTAGGGTCTCAGAAAAGGCATCCCGCAGCATGGTTATTCGTATGCGTCTGATTTAGGAACTATGTATGCGTTTACTCGTTGGTAAATCGAGAACGGAGATGAAAGGAAAGACCGCTCCTGTCGGCGCAATCTTAAAGAACAAATTTCAGAGTTATTTCTAGACATTGTATAGCTATTGCGGCCGGTGCATATCTTCAGAAGAAAACTGTTTTGAATAATTCAAAGTAAAAAGTATCAACTTTTACAATTTTACGGAAAATTATTGTTATATTTGGTATAAAATTGGGAAATATTCAGAGCAGACTGAATGTATCGATTAACGTTACAACACAGAATTCAGATTCAAAATCAAGATAAAATAGGTGTTCAATTTTCTTAGAAACAAGTAGCAAAAATTGATGATACAATCATTAACCCTTTACGATCCTATGTTCAGTATGACTGGACAATTTATTCTAGTAGGTCCTATGTCCAGTGTCACTGGATAACGATTTTCTTTTTCCTCGATATCTTCGATTTAAATGCGGACCTGCCCAAGAATTAACAATATTATAATTGTTTTTCCGTTTAAGTACTCTTCATCTCTATACTGGAGGGTTAATATACTTATTAGAAGTATTTGCTTAAGCTTACTACATATCTTGATCTTTTTATTAATATACAGGGTGTCTCAGCTGAAACCGGATATCTAAATATCTCCTTTATTTTGAATAACAGGAGAATGGTTTCAAGACAGGAATGTCGTAAATAGAAAATTTTCTGTATGATCATTATTTCTAATTTTTTTAGAGTCACCGGTACTTTTTTGTTAGAAACCATATAGTTCATTCTATTGTATTTTTGTAGTATATGTTAAAATGCATTCAGATATGTGTAACTTATGACTATGAAGTGGCCTAGTACATTGAAAAAATAATGAAATTCTGAGACAATGTTAGGATGCTACATGAAAATACATTCTCGACAGGACACTGGATGGGTAAAAACATGTAAAATTTTAATTAGATAATCATAAGAATTTTGTCTTAACCCTTTGTCTTACGATTTTCTTGACGTCTGTGGACACCAGGATTACATTGTTGTCGATAGTTTCCCAAAAAAGAAAGGATTTCTGTACTTATCTCAACTGTAATTTTACTATAAAAGTTAAATACTAATGCCAGCAACACTTCACTTCGACTCAAAGAAAACCGAATGATATTCTTCTTCGTTAAATCGATTTTGAAATCGTCAACACGAGTCTGACACGACGTTATAGGGCTTAAAGCAATGATGTCAACACAGTACTAACCATAATATATTCACAACACATTTCCATTCTGTATAAACTCTTCCGAAACAGACCAAGTATCTGTTTAGTCCCATTTCCCTTAACTAGCCCACAGATATGTATTTGCATAAACACCCAGGCCCGACTACTAAACGTTAAGCAGGTCGCATAAATATTCATCACCGCCAATTAAAAACCACTCAACACCAGGACCAATAAGAACAAAACAAGAAAGTCTCTCGGCTCTTTGCCTGCGCCGAGCCACGCATTCAACCCCGTAACTTCGTCCGGCGACACGACAATGTCCATAAACCAGCCGCAAGTGGAACAAGACAAGAGTCGGCGATGTAAGGTGTAAGCTGCGCCCGGGACAAGTATGTATCGCGCACTTGTACTCGTCCCACTCGTAAAAACCGAGGTGCTCGATCTCTGGAGGGATAGTCCTGGTCGCAGCTAACCCTGCAACCGGCCAGTGAACCCACGACCTCGTCAGTCGAATACACCTAGAAAACGCAATACGAGCCCACGAAGACGGTATTCCCCCTTCCCTCCCATCCCTCGTAAAAACTGGACCCTGAAAGCGGCCTCG